CCATCCGTTGGCATCTCGAGCTCCTAGTGCCTGTGGGCATTTTTCCAGCTTTAGCCTCTCATAGAGTTCACCTTAACCACTGATTGCCTTGTTTTTAACTTTTCGCCAGGTTCTTAAGGGAGACTTGCTGATCACACACTGTCAATGCCTCATGTGGTTTATGTTGTCTTTGTGTAAAATATCGGGAAACTGATTTTGATTAGGAAAGGCGGGAGGTTTCGTTTGTCAGTTAATTCATTTTTAAGTTACTTCTCTGCCAAATTGCTTCAGTTAAACTGAGCTGTTTGTCTTCCAGCTCAGTTCTGCTTTTAAAAATGTGTTTGCTGAAGATTTTTAATTTATATTCTTCAGTCTTTGTGCAGCACCAGGCTCCAGTGAGTTCCTCCAGCTGCTCTGTCAATGAATACAGACAAGGCCTTCCAGCTCTCAACAGGGTATCTCATGGTATATTGTGCTGAATCACTTGATATATATATAGTAGTCCTTTTAAATATTTTGAGTCTAAAAATCATTAAAGCTTCCTGACAAACTTGTGTGAAAAACTGATTGTGATGATATGCCACTCAAATCTCAAAGTGGGTGACCTGGATTGCAACCCTGTGCATGTTGATTGAGAACTGCTTTAAATTTAGGGGAACTGACCCCCCCCGAATGTTTGTAAGATTGCAGTCTTGACCGATTTCAGTTAGTAAATCTATTAATAAAGTCCCAAATGTCAGATTCCTTGATACTTTGTTTTTTCACATTGTTGTAAAACATACAAGTGTTCTGAGTGGCATGTCTTACATTTAAGAAAGATCATGTTTACCTGGAAGCATAATTCTATGAAGAAAACAAATAGAGCTGTCTTTCCTAATTTCCTGCTCCGGCTGTCACACATGTGCATAAACACACCTCCTTGTAATCAGATCTTATGAACTAAAAAAAAATATGTTATTTTGACCGAAACATGTTGCAGCATAATGTGTCGAAGCTAGATTTTTAAAATTTCCTAAAGTTCTGCCCTAAACCTGTAAAATAAATTGGATTTCTTTTCTTTTTTCCCTATGTATAGTTTTGTTTTCCCCTTTCAGTTTCACTGTGTTGTATTACAGTATATTAGCTTGTATTTCAAACCTAAAAGAACTGATTGGGGGTGGGGGGGAGCAGTTCGGTATACAGGGCTACACATTCTGTCATAGAATAGAAATGCTGGAGCTTCAATGTGAGCCGAGCTTAATAGGCACAATTTCTGGTTTAGCACTCGAAACATAGTGCAATAAAGTTCTTACTGTAAAGTCTCCTCCTTGCTTCTTAGTGAATTTATTACAGGGACCAGTTCTGGGCTAGGGCAGAAGTCCAGAGAATGAAAGAACTTAAAGGTTTGCTGCCTCCTTTTGGAAAATATATGACTTAAGGGTTTTTATTTTTGTGTGTATGTGTTAGACCAGGGCTTTTCAACCAGTGCTACGGGCACCACCTGTGGTACATTGGCATCTGGCAGGTGGTACACGACCATCCTAGACAAGTGGTAGCAGCGGAGGGGAATGAGCTGAACCGGTGGCAGCACCGCACAAGCTTGAGCGGAAGTGCCAGGATCAGTGCTGCTTTCCAGCTGATCGGTGTTTCTTCAAGGCTGTCAGCTCAGTGGAAGCGCCAGGATCAGCGCCAGGCTCCAGCTGGAGCTCGGCGCTGATCCTGACGCTTCTGCTGAGCCCAGAAGAAGCACCGATCAGCTGGAATGTTGCAGCCTCTCCAGGGTCTTGTGATTTACATTCAGATGCTTGGCAACTGATTCATATTTATGACGGTCACAGTGTCCTAGGATCATGTGAAGTGATCAAAACCTGCTGCAATCACCCAGCAGAGGGGGGGGGGGATAAAAACCAGACACCCCACCCCCGTTGCCAATCCTCAACAGAAATGCTCACAACAATGAAAACCTCGGACAGGAGGAAGAACATGCATTTCAGAGAAAATGATCCACTCCAAACCTAAGCACCAAAATCAATCAATTTATTTAATCCCCAAGCTTCTGACTCTGCAAAGCCTTTTTCTTAGGAATTCATGTAATCCATTTTTGGTTAGCTATCACCTGTCCTTCAGAGGACTGTGAGGAGGAAGGCAGTTTGAATGCAGGTATCTGGTGCTGCCTGAATCTCTTTACTTGAGGAGCAATTTGCTTATATTAGATGCCTTCAGAACCTCTTTTTTCAAGATACGTAGCCATTCCATAATGACAAGAGTGCTTGAATGCTGTGCTTGAACAAAGGAATTTATCAGCTTGAGGTGTTAATCCCAACACATCCTGCTTTAAATGGCTGAACTTTCACTTCAAGATCTGGGCATTAGGTATTGGACTGATTGGATGAGCTATGAATTAAAGCCACATGCATTGTTGGATTTAGGCATAAATTAAACAAGCCACAGTGTACACCTCACAATCCATAGGACCTCCCAAAATTTAAGGTGTTTTTTTTTAAAGCATTTTATGTGGCTTTTGTATGCATTGTAGTTTTTAAAATCTTGCCTAGTAAATGTTTATGTGTAGTTTTTAAAATGGCTTTATATGTAATTAAAACGCATACATGTTTTCAATTTTTTCTGTGACCAAAGAATCTGTATTGGTACACACCTTTGTGAGACCTTCCGGGGCAATTTTTTAAAAGGGCCCATCAAGCTTTATATAGCTTGGTTCAAACTTGGCAACTTTAAGACTTGTGGACTTCAACTCCCAGAATTCCTCAGCCTGTGGATTTCAACTCCCAGAATTCCTCAGCCAGCCAGGACTAGCTAAGGAATTCTGGGAGTTGAAGTCCACAAGTCTTAAAGTTGCCAACTTTGAAGATCCCTGGCTTAGGGCCTCATCCAATCTAAATCTGGCATTGACCCCATGGGCCAAGTTCCACAACAAACTAAGCTAAAATGTGGTTACCTGTTTTGTGGCTTGATGTGATGCGTAAACAACTATTGTATCCAGTTGTCTGAGCTGTATTGAAGCCTCTGCTTTCTTGAAACTTAACATTCCTTCACAAGAGCCAACTTCAGAACAGGAATTTAAGATATAGGCCAGAATCTAATTGGGTTTTTTGTTTTTGCTAATAAACTCTAATGAGCCAAAGTCAGAGAACTGTAGCTATCTTGGGGAACCAGGCTTGAAGACGGAAGTATTTCCATTCTCTGGGAACACGTCACTATTCTTGTTCCTTCAATGCAAGATGACAGGAACTCAGCCAAAAATTGGTAGCTCAATTGTCATTTAGCTGCATGTACCCCTACAGAATGAAACTACAAAGTGACAATTGAGCTACCAATTTTTGGCTGAGTTCCTGTCATCTTAATCCACTTCAGAAGCTGTCCCTTTAAAAGAAAGGGTCTCATCATGTCTCAGGAACTGGGCCACTGCAAATAGTCCTATTAAATCAGGATTCTTTTTTTTTTATTTAAAAAGAATGCTTTATTGAACAGTTATAACTGGTTTAAGGTTGCTGAAGACAAGGTTGTAAACAGCCAATCTCTGCATCAAACTTGCCATTGTTAGATCAGTGTTTAATCTTCTCCCTGGTTATTTCATGTCAGAGTTCTCAGACTTTTTTGCCTGAGCTATGGCATGAATTACTCTGTTCTCCGGTTATTCATGTTGGTGCTCGCCAGGCTATGACACCAAAGGCTGTTGAACAATTAATTCAAGCCAGCCTCTGACGGGGAAAAGTCAGTCATACACGATGTACGGCAGTGGTTCTCAACCTTTTTAATGCCGCGACCCCCAACTGGTTGTAAGTCGAGGACTGCTCAACCGGTCGTAAGTCGAGGACTACTCAACTGGTGCAGCACTGTTTGCAGAATGGGACTTTTGGCGGGCTCGGCAGGGCAGAGACACCCTGGACAATTCCTATTGGCCTTTGAAAGCCAATAGAATTAGACTCTATTCAAGAGAGTCTATTCTATTGGCTTTCAAAAGCCAATAGAATAAAAGGGAGTAGCACAGCTAAGGAAAAGGGGGAAAAAAAATGGCGGACTGTGTTGTTTGGCGACCCCCGTGAAATGGTCGTTCGACCCCAAATGGGGTCCCGACCCACAGGTTGAGAACCACTGATGTATGGGAAGGCTTCGAATGGGGGTATCCAGACCATTTAAGCAGCACCAATCTATTTCCATTATCTCCCAGTGCTTTGAAGCTCCTTTCCAGCTTGCCTCTCTGTCTCACTGTGTTTCGGCCAGCCCTTAAAGTGGCGGGCTATCTTCCTCTTCCCTGCCTTTACGTCATTCAGACAAGTGCCCAAATAATCCCCAGAAGGCCACTTTACTAGAATCTGGGGCTTCCAGATCTGGGCTGCAAAGGGGGAGAGGCTTCTTTCCACTCTGAACTGTCATCTGATGACGATGGTCCGACTTTTGCAGCCAATCTCTTGTGATTATTTCCCTACAAACTGAGCTACACCCCCCACTCGCCATTATGCAAACTTCAAACGATAACGTAAAGCAAGGCTCTTCCAACTTGGCCCCCTTGATGACTTGTGGACTTCAGCTCCCAGAATTCCTCAGCCAGCCATGCTGGCTGGGGAATTCTGGGAGTTGAAGTCCACAAGTCATCAAGGGGGCCAAGTTGGAACACCCCTCCTCTAAAATCTCCCTGACCCAGCTCCTGCAGAAACACCAACCCTTTATGACAAGGGTCTTCCAACTTGGCCCTTCGATGACTTGTGGACTTCAAAACAACGAGTACAATAGAGGGGGAAAACAACAAGGCAGCTCTACTAGTACAGTGTTTCTCAAGCTTGACAATTTTAAGGCACGTGGACTTCAACTCCCAGAATTCCACAGCCAGCAATGCTGGCTGTGGAATTCTGGGAGTTGAAGTCCACGTGCCTTAAAATTGTCAAGCTTGAGAAACACTGTACTAGGAGATCCAAGCCGTCCCCATTCCTGGCTTCTGCGCAGCGTTGCCCCTTAACCGTTTCAGGCCTGGCGCGAACCGGTGTCCGGCCTTCCCGGTGTCCTTCAGTTGCGTTGGACTACAACGCCCGTCATCCCCTGCCCGGACTGCGGAGTCCCAGCTCCCAACGCTGACCGACACCGCTGTCCGACCCTCCTCTCTCCACGTGCTCAGCGGGGCGGTCCAGGAACACTCCAGCCCCGCCCCTCCGCCCTATTGGCTCATCGGGCAGGCCCCGCCCACCGGCGTGCCGATGGAGCCCCGCCTACCTCGGGGGCGGGTCCTAGGGAAGCAAGTGGGGCGTTCCCAGGTAGGCGCTAAACATCTTTGCAAGGAGGCGCGTGGGTTGTTCGCTGCTGGACCGGCCGGCCGTTGGGGAGGGGGCTTTGGGTCGTCCCGTCCCGCCCCGTCCTCGGCTGCTGGTCTTGCCTTCGACGGGAGCGCAGCGAGGAGACACGTTCGCCGGGCTGCGCTGCGGCCAGCCTCAGCCCGAGCGGTAGTAGTGGCGACCCCGAGGAAAAAAGGGCTATCGGTCCAAACCCGTGCAAAAAGACACGCATGCCAGGACTCCCGACCTGGCCCAGTGCTTAGAACTGACCGTGATACGGTTTTAAACCTTTCCCCTAAACTTTTGCAACCAATGTTGCAAACAACTTAATGCTCAATGCTTGGGGCTGGTTCTCTCTCTCTCTCTCTCTTTTAAAAAAATCTTCCTATAGATCAGTTCCGCTCCGCGGTTCATGCAGGAAAAGTTGGTGGCACAAGCAAATAATTGCTTGAAATTCGGGCTAAGCCCCGGACCTCTCAGGTAGGTGAGAAGTCCACTTTTACCACGCTGAGCAAACTCCGCAAGTTGGGCCTGGACTGGACTGTAACTGGACTGTAAATTTTAAAAATACATTGCTTTTCCTTTCCTTGGTATTTTCAGTGGAAGAATAAATAAAAAATATTCAGTTTTAATCATTAAGTGAATTAAACGAACTTTTCCATTCCGGCTTTCTTATCGCTCACTGGGCCCTGACATCTTACCAATCAAAGAAAGCCCTGATAAGCAAAATTTATGATTAGGAAAACATCAAAATGACATTCTAGGTCAGGGGTAGGCAACCTTGGCACTTTTATAACTGGTGGACTTCAACTCCCAGAATTCCTGAGCCAGCCATCTTTAAATGAGGGTGCATCACAAGCACACAATTTCAATCTTTCAGACTCCATGACATTTTAAAACTGACAAGAAATCAAAAGCAAAAGCAAACTAGAACTAAGGAGAAACTTCCTGACTGTTAGAACAATTCACCAGTTGTCAGTTTTAAAATGTCATGTAATTTTTCATTTGCTTATCTTTCCTTTTTCTTAAACCCTAACTAGTATATATTTTTGCTTGGTTTTCTTTTCCTTTTGCGATATAGGCTCTGCTCGTAAACTGCGGGTGGCCCCTCTTTTAAGAGGGAAGCAAAGTAGCGAACTGACAGTCTGCACAAAGGAAGGAGCAAGTAGGGAAGATTTTTTTTTAATCTTAAGAAGACCAAAAGAGTCTGAAAGAGTGAAATTGTGTGCTTGTGATGCACCCTCATTTAAAGATGCACTCTCATTTAAAGACATGGCTCTGATTTTATCCTCAGAGCTGGTAGAGATGATGGAGAGGGGGAAAAATACATAAAAGAAATAAGGGGGAAAGACTGCTATATCTGTATTTGATTTTTCTTCCTTTCACAATACAGAATCCATAGTCTTTGAAGGATTGTGCAGAGAAAAGAACATGAAATAGCAATTGTCTTGCAAGGAAAAGATACACTGAGGAAGTTGTTTTTTTTTTTTCCACAACGAAAAGTATCAGTCAAGAGAAATTACAAATGGAACCTGCAACATATCATTCCAAAAAAGCAGGAGCAAAGAAAGAAAACAGTAGAAAACAGATTGGTTTGAGCTCAGAAATACTACCAATATCTTGCAGAAGCCGAAAGAAATCTCTGAAGCAAAATTCAATAATAAAGGCATCTTTTGCACTGTGGAAAAATAGCAACCATGGAAGAAAAGGAAAGCATGATTATTGTTTAATGACTCCACGTGGAAAGCAATTGGCACCACAAACACAGCAGAAAAAGTTTGCAGCATTTAGAAAACTACAAGTCTCACTATACGACATATTGGATAAAAATTGTGCTCCCACGCTAAAGAAGTCTTTCCAAATTCCAAATGTTGGGGCATTGCTAGAAAAGGAAAAAAAGGACACAGCCGAGAGGCGCACCACAGAGGTGGATAATTCTAGAGAAGCAGGGGAATGTTCTGGAGAAGTGGAGCCTGGGCAAACAAATTCCAATTGTGACATTAGAAAATCTGGAAATGGAGCCAAATCTTCGACATTCTTGGCCTTGAGCGATCAGAGCTTGTTTGCAACATTCCCTTTTATTGAACAAAACCATGAAAATACAGTAATGGATCCTTGTCTGGCCAAAACAGACGAAGAAAGGAAAGAATGCTTTCAAAAGGCTTCTGTTCCTGTTTCTGAGGCAGAGACATGGAATACGAAATGGTTTGAACCAACTGAAAAATGTATGGAATCTGGGAGCCATATGGTCAAACAAACAGAGGAGGGACCTGCCTGTTATAAAGCAGAAGATGGTCAAGATGTGGAGATAAAGCTGTCAGGAGGATCAAGTGAAACAGCTATCAGTGATGTAACCCAACCCTACAGCCTAAATTCCATCTCTGTCTCCGATGAAGGAGTTTTGCAGGATAGGGAAATTATCCCTGCTTTTAGCAGCAACGCATTCTCCAAAACATCAATTGGCAGAATGATCTTGACTGATAAAAAACCTCACGAAGGGGACAAACGTCACGTATCTGATCCGCTCTCGTCATTGTCGGAGATCAATCTTAAGTTAGGCATACAGACTCTGACTTCCAACGAGAGTGAAATTAAGCTGCCAATAAAGGAACTGATGGGTCTCAGTCTGAACACATTCACTGAAAAGATCCATGAAGATCTGGTGATCCTTGAAGAGGAGGAAAGTAATATCAGGGATAGCAATACAAATATGGAGAGCTTCTGCTTTCTGCTAAAAGACAATGAAATTCGATACGATGAAGCTCTGGTGTGTGTAGCCAATGAAGAAAGGCCTGGAGATTTTTTATATGGAGGTGGCCTTTCAGATCATGGGGCTGAATATTTAGTGCCAGAGGGCAACTTCACAGGCCAGAACTATCCAGATGATGATGATGATGATGGAGCCTTCATACACACTGAGATCAAAAAAGCAACAATGTCAGTTGAAGACAAAGAAGTCAATTTCTTCAGCAATGAAAAAGAAACTATGGATTGTCCACCAGCAGAAGAAAACATTTCTCTGGGAGTATGATCATAGCTATTCTCTTTATGGAGGGTCTGGGAAAATGCCCCCTATGCACTCTAGGCTGGATCAAATGTGAACAGATTCTTAATATAGAAATAGTAGTTAAGACAGCCTAAAAATATAAAGCTAGCCTTTGACTTAGGACCACAACTGGAATTAGAATTTCTGTTGCTAAGCAAAGCAGTTGTTAAATGAGTCAAGGCCAATTTTATGATCCGTTGTTGCCATGGTTAAGTAAATTTCTGTAATTGATAAGTGAATCTGGCTTTTCCCCTTGATTTTGTTTGTCGGAAGCTGGCTGGGAAGGTGTTACAAAAGTGCTTTTCCAAAAGTAAACTCGATTTTCTTGTTTTTTTCCCTTGAAAACGTTTCGCTTCTCGTCCAAGAAGCTTCTTTAGTTCCAGTTCCTTGGATGAGAAGCAAAATGTTTTCAAGGAACCCCCCCCTCCAAAAGTGCAGTTGCCTTTTGGAAAAGAACCTTTGGGACAACCATGATCTGGATGATGATTGAGAATCTCCATATATGTCTCCAGTGATGATTTTATAACCCTGGGACATTGCAACCATCATAAGTACATGCTGCAAGCACCCAAACTTTGATGATGTGACCATGGTCATAAATGTGAGTGCTGTTGTAACTTTGAGCAGTTGCTAAAGAAAAGGCCATAACTGGGAGGTCTACCTTTGCACATTCCTTTCGTGCTCCTACCTTTGGTTAACACCAGGGTGTATGTGTTTGTGCCTGTATATATTAAAAAAATCGAGATGGCAACATTGATCACATAATCATGGCTTCCACTTTGACTCTGAGTTCTCCTGCAGATGCCCCTGGTTAACGGTTAAGTGTCAGCAATGTCTTTTATATTATCCATTATTAGTGCCAGTTATTAAAGCCATTATTTGCTTAGCTAGGTTTTGCAAGGCAATTAAAATGTAAACGCTTAAGATCCAAAATGTCAATTATCAGCATGCACCCAACAAACTATGTTAATTTTACCCATCAGCCTAAATGCTCTAGCACCTGTTTCTGTGGTCACGTTTAGCCTACATTTGGTTGGTAAAAGAGAATCTCCAATAGAGAGCGTCAGTATGCCATTTCTTATATACACATTTCAGTCCATCCTTCAGAAGGGAAATTTAAAATCAACAGCAGTCTAGGAAACATCCTTATTTGGACCTAGTGCCCAATGGAATAGTCAGAAGCGTGTTTGATTTTGATGATGGATTTGAGGGGAAAAGATCAGGAGAGGATCCTTTTGTGTAAACAGGTCACTAAAAAAGAGGTAAAGCTCATATGAAAAAGATGACTTAAGATTGGTTTGTTCTTTCTAAGGAAGAAGAAAGCTTGCTGCTGTATCAGTCTCGGAGCGTAAAAATGGTCTTTTATGTAAGTTCCTTTTTTTTATGATAATAGATAGAAGCTGCCTTTGATTAAACTTCTCCACGGGAGTAATTGCTAAATGTGCAGCACAGATGTCTTGTTCCAGATTCAAACTGCTATCTAGTGTGCAAATTCTGGAGTTACTGGTTCTCAGTGGTCTTGGTGTTATCATGACAACAATGATCCCATCTGGAGGCAAGAGTTCCAGAGCAATTCAAAGAGCCAAATATTTACAGGCTTACGACTGTCATTGAGTCAGAATTATGTTTGTAAGTCATGCTGTTGATTAAGCAGAAGATCACATGATCAACCCAATTTTATGACATCTTTTTTGTGGTGACTGTTAAACAAACCCCATGGTCATTAGGTATAGGACATTGTAGTGTCCCACAGCCATGTGACCAAAATTTACAATATTTTTGTTGAAAACTGGTATTTATTTCTTGTTAATGGCAAAAACATCCCATAGCGAACAATGGGTGGAAAAACTGCATGAAACTGCAGAAAAGAATCAGTCATGTGATGACCCGCTTTACGACTGTAATGGACAGGCTCCATTAAGATCATAAGTTGAGGAGTATCTGTACTGTAGATTTATATTTATGCTATAGGTGAAAGAATGGGAAGAAATTATTAAGAGTGTTTTCGTGTGCAAGCTTTAGTCTTGACATCCTTGTCTGTTAACATCCACACATAATGCAGGAAACAGGTTTTTACAATAAAACTGATAAAAATCCAAAGCTACTTGGAATCTAACCCATGCATTTAGTTCTGGATCCAGTAGAACTATTTTAGGATTGCTGACTAGAAATTTAAAGCTGCTTCTTCCCTATGAGAAAAAAATAATTTTATTTTTTTATTTATTTTTCAGCTTGTATTTACTGAAGCTTTCCTGATGGATAAGAATGGTATTAATGATATATCGATTAAGCTAAGACCTTATTCCTACTTTAGAAATATTTGAAACCAGAACTGTGACCTTTGCACAACATGGTGCTTTTGCAAACTTGCATAGTTCTTTTTATAATTACAACACGAGACTTGATGGTACGGGAACTGAGGAACTGTTTTTGCAATAACATGCAAGTTTCACAACCACACATGTTATAATGGTTTTATGTGGAAAGATGTGGCCAGAAGAAAGAATGAGGAACCGATTTAGGGGCTGAAATCTCAGAAGTTATGTGTTTGCGGTTTTCAGGTATAAAAGAGTGGCACTAAAAAGAGGTCAGGGCCAATTGGTCATCAGCCGTCAATCCCTTGACTGCTTGTACATTTGGTCCCCATTGCAATGGGTTATGGTATGTAAGTACTTATTGTGTGCCGCTAAATTTCAATAAACCTCTGGTTCCTCAAGTGAGACTCATGTGGTGTGATGGTCTCTTGTCTTTAATGTGTTTTTTCCCCCCTGACATCCCATAAAGACCTATATTTACAAAGGATTTTTTTTTTACAAAATGCTTTTCTTCTATTCTTTTACCTACAACATAAATTTACAATCTATAGTACTAATATATAGCCCTTGTAAAATATCATTGCTCTTTATGTGACAATCAAGCAACGAATCAGTGAACACCTAGAGCAGTGGTTCTCAACCTTTTTAATGCCGTGACCCCCAACCGGTCGTAAGTCGAGGACTACTCAACCGGTCGTAAGTCGAGGACTACTCAACTGGTGCAGCACCGTTTGCAGAATGGGACTTTTGGCGGGCTCAGCAGGGCAGAGACAGCGTGGACAATTCCTATTGGCTTTGGAAAGCCAATAGAATTAGACTCTATTCAAGAGAATCTATTCTATTGGCTTTCAAAAGCCCATAGAATAAAAGGGAGTAGCACAGCTAAGGAGAAGGGGGGAAAAAAATGGCAGACTGCGTTGTTTGGTGACCCCTGTGAAATGGTCGTTCGACCCCAAATGGGGTCCCAACCCACAGGTTGAGAACCACTGACATAGAGGCAAACCAAGACATAACCAAAAGCCAACGGGTTTGTCAAAAACCAATCATGCTAGACAAATCTTATTGCATTCTTTGAAGAAGTGTCAAAATTAGTGGACCAGAGGAATGCTGTGGATATAATTTACTTGGACTTCAATAAGGGATTTGATATAGTAGAACACAACCTACTACTTGATAAGATAGAAAAATGTGGGTTAGACAGCATCACCACCAGATGGATTTGTAACTGGCTGACAAACCGTACTCAGTGAGTAATCCTTAATGGAACTGCATTTACAAGGAGGGAAGTATGCAGTGGGGTACCCCAAGGCTCTGTCTTAGGCCCAGCACTCTTCAACATCTTCAGCAGTGATTTGGACCACACTTGGAATACGGCATCCAGTTTTGGTCGCCATGATGTAAAAAAGATGTTGAGACTCTGGAAAGAGTGCAGAGAAGAGCAACAAAGATGATCAGGAGACTGGAGACTAAAGCATATAAGGAACGGTTGCTGGAATTGGGTTTGTCTAGTTTAATGAAGGGAAGGATGAGGGGGGACATGATAGCAGTGTTCTAATCTCTCAGGGGCTGCCCCAAAGAAGAAGGAGTCAAGCTATTCTCTAAAGTGCCTGAAGGCAGGACAAGAAGCAACAGATGGAAACTCATCAAGGAAAGAAGCAACCTGGAACTAAGGAGAAACTTCCTGACAGTGAAAACAGTTAACCAGTGGAACAACCTGCCTCCAGAAGCGGTGAATGCTCCAACCCTGGAAGTTTTAAAGAAGAGACTGGAAAGCCATTTGTCTGAAATGGTGTAGGGTTTCCTGCCTGAGCAGGGGGTTGGACTAGATGACCTCCAACTCTGTTACTCTGTTATTATTCTGTTTTAAAATCAGAATAATTTTTTATAAGACATTTTTACCATACAGGTAGTCCTCGACTTACAACTACAATTGAGTCCAAAATTTCTGTTGGTAAGCGAGACAATTGTTAAATGAATTCTGCCCCATTTTACAACCTTTCTTGCCACAGTTGTTAAGTGAATCACTGCAGTTAAGTTAGCAGCCCGGTTGTTAAGTGAATCTGGCTTCCCCTCTTGACTTTGCTGGTCAGAATGAAGCAAAAGGGGATGACCTTGGGACACGGCGACCGTCATAAATACGAGTCAGTTGCCAAGGGTCTGAATTTTGATCACGTGACCGCAGGGATGCTGTACTTGTCGTAAGTGTGAAAAACAGTCATAAATTATTTTTTTTAGGGCCGTTGTACCTTGGACTGGTCACTAAACAAACGGTTGTTAAGTCAAGGGCTACCTATAATTGTGTGGACTTTTTCCTCCAGGAGCTGTTTGGGTCACTAGTGAAACTTCTTGGAAGTCCCAGCTTTAATCCGAAAAAATCCAGATTGGGAAAACTTACAGAACTGGAGGATTCTTCAAGTGCAAAGGTGAATCATTTCATAGTTTCATTCAATATTGTTATTATTCTTTCTTCCTTTGCTGCGTCAAAGGGAAGGAAATACGATGGCCAAGATAAGGAAGGCTGGCAGTAGGTTTGGGAGTTGATTTTGAGTCCATCTTCAACCCAAAAAAGGTCCAACTAGCTTATCTTATGTTTTCATTGGCTTTATAACTTCCCCCTTTGTTCCTTAATTTTGTCTACAATTTTTTAAAATTAAACAATCCACGGATTGATGTGATGCCTGAGCCCACTCGTAGGGTAAACGTTCTTTTTCTCCTATGCAACTGTGGGCTGCGTACTAACGATGACTAACCAATAGGTAATTTAATTCCAATTCAAGTCTGCAAGAAGCTATTAATTTAATCCCGGTTGTTTTCCTTGCATGATGGTCACAATTCCTGTGATGCAAGACACGTGAAGGTAGTGACGCCAGGCTATCTTCAAAGAGAAAAAAAGAAAATAGGCTCTGTTTAGCAAACAGAACCACGTGTTTAGGTAAGTTGCTGCTGGTTTATTTATTTATAGTATTTATAACCAGCCAAAGGATCTGGGCATCTTATAAAAAAGTAAATGTGACATGCTTTCCGATATCAGTTCGATCCTTCCTAAAGATGCTTTTTCAAAAGATAAGTGGACTTTCTTTGTTTTTCCTTAAAGACCTTGCACTTCTCATCCAAGACGGTTCTTCAGTTCTGATTGAATGGTGGAGAATGGAAGCATTTATATTCCTTGCAGTCACTTAGTGCAAGAAGTATAAATCCTTCCATTCTCTACCATTCAGTCAGAACTGAAGAAGCCTCTTAGATGAGAAGCGAAACATCTTCGAAGAAAAGACAAAGTCTAGTCATGACCTGGGTGACTGAGAATCTCCATGGACGCTTCGCTCCTTCATATTGTAGTAGAAAGGAGACTGTTGAATAGTTGAGGATTTGTTTATTTTATCTGCTCCGGAGCAAATTAATATAGTGGATTAAGGTTAACCCCATGATCCGCAATTCCCAGTTCGAGGGCTGGTGACAATGTTGGAAATTTCGAAATTGTATTTTGGCTGTGTTACCCAGTAGCTGTCATGGCCAGCCTCCAGTTTTAAAAAATGAAAAACCAAGGATGCTTCTCACTAATATTGTAGAATATGCCATTCAGCTCCGCAGCTTATTTTTCCTGTAGTTCTCAGCAAGGAGGCAGATTTCCAAACAAAATAACCCCATTTATTTTTATTTTATAGGAATGTTATGGCCCCCAGAGGCATTTTTTTGAAATACGGATGATGCTGGAAGCTGGTGCTTTCCTTTATAACTTCCCCATTTCTTCCTTAATTTAGTTTACAATTATTTTTTAATTAAACATCCCATTGAGCGCCGAGCCTGGAGGGCACAAACGGAATTGTCTGCAGACATATTGGTGTTTTTAAACCTTGCCCTGGGGACTCGTGCAATAAGCTTTATGACGGAGTAAGAGTTTGAACAAATGTCAGCTTGCTGTGGGCCTGTCCCCTGTATCACATTGACGATCAACTGGGAATTGTGAGATTTATTGGTCATAAAGAGCAAATAGAACATGTAAGAGCTCTTAGCTTGATCCATCTCAATGCAGTAATGGGATAATTTATAGGATGGGCAAGTCTGTCTTGTTGTGAGGGGGGGGGAGTTTAGATGTTGGTCCTAAGTCAGGATACTGTTAGGTGATTGGCTAAGGATTAATATCTTGAAAAAAATGCCATCAGCATATATAATATTTCACATATTATGAGGATAAATTAGAGGCATCTTTGTGGAGGTTAAAAAAAAAATCAAGATGGCTGTTATAGCTGCATGGTGGAAGCCTTACTCTCTTGTATATCTTGACTTTTCAAAGCTCCATGAAGCAATTTTGGCTTGTGTGTTTTGTATCTGAACCGTGATGTTGAGGAAGGAATAGGAGGGGCAGGCTGTTGGTGAAACAGCTTCCCTGAAGAAGGAGCTATGAAGAAGAAAAAATCCTTTTTGCTGGAATGTTTTATTGCAATGTCAGGAAGAATTCAGGAGCGCTCATCATGGCCTGTAAAATCTCGAAATCTGATAGGCTCTGAAGAATATCATTTCATTTGGTGGATATTTTAAACTCCTCTGTTTTATTTCTAGAACCAGTTAGAAATGTATGTGGAAAAATACAAAATTCTGTGTGATTTAAATTCAGGGCTGATATCTTGTAAAAAGCATTAGTAACTGCACTGGAGGTGAATGGTAGCCTGCGGGCAGCCAAGCCAGAAAAGTTAGAATCCACATCTTCATGTCACATAGACAAAGAGATGCGGGATTAATCCTAGTTCTCAGACTTTGAAAGCAAACCTTGGAATTTCCAATTTACTTGTCCCCCCTCCGCTAATTCTCTAATTTAATTCTGCAATGATTTTAATTTTTGAATCTGGGTTGATAATTAGAGTTTCTGAATTGGTACCTGTCATCATACAAGATATCTGAGGCAAATTTCATTAAACTAATTGGAAGGATGACAATGAAGCTTTTTAAAATTTTTTTTTGAGGAGTTAGGGATACAATTTTGAGGAATTAGGGATACGATACAATTCTTCTATTGTATTAAATGCATACATACAAATTGCAAGAAAGTGGAGTTCTTAGCAAAGAAGTAATAGTAGGCCTTGCTCAAATTTCCTTTCCTTCCTCAAATTCCCTCTGTTCTATTGTCTCAAGTATTTTCTATTATTTTAAAAGGCTGCGGGACAAAACAGAGGACAACACAGAAAAAGACTCCCAAGCCAATACCTCGGCCGTGGCTCTCTCAAGAGCAAAGTCGCATGAAGGTGATAGAAACCTTGAGAGAAACCCTCCAAAAAAGGTAGGCCAGAGTGGCTGGATATCTTTGGTATACAGGAGGGGGACAAATTAAATTATTTTTAATTACCATTATTAATCAAATTGGAATTCAAATTTGATAACAAATGGTAATTAAAAATTAATTGATGTGTGGAATCAAATGCAGGACCCAAGACTCAATAATCAAGGCTCAAACTGCAGAACTCACTTATTTAACATTGTGCCCTGGAGATTATACTGTTACTGTCTTCAAGAAAGAATTATTGTCTTAATACAAAGAAGCCTATCAGTTGCGATAGAAATTTTGATAAAGCTTACTGAGAACCAGACACTTCAAGGATGCTTGAATTAGCAAACATTCCTTCTACGTTTCTGTTTTGCTAATACAGTCCCACTTTGTGAGGGTTGGAAGTCCCATTTGTTTTACTTACATGTGATAGTATAGGTAGCTTCCTTTCCTCATGAAGATAATTTTTGAGATAGATTAAGAGAATGAGGACCGCCAGCATGCTTTAGGATAGAGTGATAGCTTGAGTTGGCCTCTGTCTGATTCCTAGAAGTCCAAAGCAAATATTCTTCCTTGGTATTTTCCAGTATCTTTAAATAATGTGTTTAATTGAAAAGTCTTAAGAGAACAGCATTCTAAATGGCCTAAATGTTATTTGCTGCGAGAAATTGACTGGTTAGACCAACTTAATATCCTGCCTCTCTATTTCAGGCTGAATGATACCCCTGACTTGGATGTGCAGAAAAATATAGCATCAAAAATAGCGAAGAAAGTGGAGATGGAGATATTCAAGCACTTTGGCCGCGTGGATCGGCTTTACAAAAACAAGTATCGCAGTCTGCTGTTCAATCTGAAATCATCAGACAACCAGGTCAGAAATACAAAAAATGCAAGCTAAGTTGCCTCATTGTTCATTTCAAAACCGTAAAGAGAATCTTAACTATGAAGCAAGGAACTCAGTGTGTAGCTGCAAGGATCCGGCTAGGATCAGTTGTAATTCATTTTTGTCAACGCCATTGTAACTGCAGCGCTTTTCAGAGTGAGATGGGTGACATCTCAGTTGAATAAATAAATAAATAAAACTTTCAAACATTGAACAAATGGTTGTGAAGACTGACATTGACTCACCTCCCAACCCTTCCTGGAAGGTTACATAGGTGATGAAGGCAACAAATCTGACATTATTTGGAGACCACCCTTGAACAGTGCCAGAATAAGTCATGAATATTACCTTAACGCTTCTACAGCTAAGCACAACTTAAGGCTGTTTGTGGGCTGGGGGTGAGATAAAGGCAATTCATGGGATCGGAGAAATCAAGAGAATGCAATGAGAGACTGGCTGACCTGGTCAGCTTGCTAGAATATTATATCACAGATCCTGATTTGCAATCTAAATGACTATTTGTTTCAAAGGCATTACTCATTTCTTGCACTCTTTTATGAGAAGGAAAGTAAGAAGGCTTTAGGCCAGCTATTCTTTTAATTACAGCTCTTGTGCAAAACATCTGTTGCTTGCGTTTTCCCCAGCTCTTCAACAAGTTGATGCGTGGAAAAATCACCCCAAGGAGATTAGTTCAGATGAGCTCTTTAGAGATGGCCTCCAAGGAGCTAGCAGAGTGGAGAGCCAAGAAGAACAAACATGTAAGTTGAGTTCACTGCCTTTTTCAGCTCGGTTAACATATTTGGAAGGGTAAGAATTTGCTGCGGGTACAAATCTAGTCTTATTTCCTCCATCTGAAAAAGTTAATATTGATAACCACGTTTGTTTGTTTTGTTAAATTTGTACACCACCCATCTTACTTCCAAGTGACTCTTACCCCCCATAGAAGGAGAAAGGTGTGTTGAAAATCTTCACCGCCTTGAATTATTTGTGAAAATAATAAAATATGGGATATACATGAAGAACTTAAGTACAAAAATCAATACAGGTAGTCCTCGACTTATAACCGTTCATTAAGTCACCATTCAAAGTTACAATGGCTGTGAAAAAAGTGGCTTATGACCAGTGGTGGGGTTCAAATATGTGAACAACCGGTTCTCTGTGTTGGGTAAAGCCAAAAACGGTAACGCCTGTCACAAGCGGGAGCGTATTTCAGAAGCGGCTGGTTTGTCACCATCTTGACATTCAAAGATACACATCTGAGATGGGAGTCATGTGTGAAATGGCCCTCCTACGGTACTTGGAGCTACGTCTGTGTCATTCTGTCGCTTGCAGGAACTGGAGATGATTGAGAAAGAGGAGCGAGAAATGCCGAGGCGTTGCTCTGAAAAATTCACCCACAAAGGAATTGTAGAGATATACAGAGAAGTAGACATAGACGTGGCATCTGAAGAAATCATTGTGAGTAGATGGTGGTGTTCAGGCAAGGGCAACCGACTGAGCATTGCTATAGGCCAGGGGTAAGCCACCTTGGCTCTTTTATGACTTGTGGACTTCAACTCCCAGAATTCCTGAGCCAGCATGCGGGAACTTTGGCCCCTTCATGATTTGGGGACTTCAACTCCCAGAATTCCTGAGCTAGCATGGCTCAGCTTGGAAACCTCTCCCTTTCTCCTCAGCATGGCTGGCTCAGGAATTCTGGGAGTTGAAGTCCACAAGTCATAAAAGAGCCAAGGTTGTCTACCCCTGCTGTAGGCAATTCCCTTGAGTTTGAAGGAAGAGGGATCAAGAGTTATCCCCCAATTGAATGGTCAAGATCTGAAGGAGAGGTCCTTGTGAAGACGTGCTCCAGTCGGAAACCCATCCTCCTACCCTGGAGGCCTTTTGCTGCATTGCTATGTAACTTGGGAGTTTCCGTTGCGGTAGATTTATAGAGATTTCACTAGAAGTTTAGTTCTTAGTTGGTTTCAGTATTTATTATTATTTTAATGTATTTACAACTTTTTGTGCTGATCCGAAGTCCACAGATCATAAAAGGGCCAAGTTTGAAGATCCCTGGACTAAGGCTTCCCTACAGTAAATAGAATTAAAGCTGAAAGCTTCATTGACTTTATCATAGATGTCAACTGGTGGGGCTAAAAATCAAAAGCTCAATAACTCTCCTGGTGGTACATTATTTTTAGGAATCATCGCTACATGAGGTACCATCATTAGCTGGGAGCAACCAAATAAGTAAGTTTAGTTATTTATTTATTTGGTTAATATTTTATTTATTGAAAACATTTATCTCCCCAAGTTTTGTCAGCTCCCAGTCAAAATCAGTTAAAACAAACCTATAAAACCATACTAAACCTATACAACTAAATGCATTAAAACATTAAAAACAGCCACATAAGCAATCTCAGTGGTCCCAGTGATTCTAAGCACTTGTGTGCTTTAAAGGATTTGGGTCTATTTTATTTCTATTTCAAGTATAAGGAGCTTTTTCAGGAGGCAACTGGACTTCCTTATTTTTCTTTGAAGACGTTTCGCTTCTCATCCAAGAAGCTTCTTCAGCTTTGACTGGATGGCGGGGAATGGAAGGATTTATACTCCTTGCAGACAGCCGGTCATTTGCAATCTTTTAGAGCGTCGTTGAGCCATTTGGAGGTTCATCTGTATCCTCAGGATTATCTGAGTAGTGCAAATGTGTGTGGAGCCTTCTTGGCTGCAGGATGTTTTCTGCCTTGGGTCCCTTCACTGTGGAAGATGGGCACAGGCTGTTGGGGGTGAGTCTGTGTTGTCTGCATCTCACACTGAAGCGCAAATGGTTCCTGTGGTCTGCAATATTTTCTGGAAATCCATTCATACTCCTGCACCATTCAAAGTGAGACTTAGAGCAGGGGAGACTCAAAACTGCTTTGGTGCTTCTGAATTTTGTATTTAGACTATTCAGCGTTCTGTAAGAAACACTTGGCTCCAGGCTTTGCTGCAAAATCCACGGGATATTTTTTCCAGTTAACATCATTCTGAAATAAATGAGTGGAACAGAATGTTGGTTTTCAAACAGTTCCTTTTCCACCACTGTTGGGGAACCTGAAAACCTTCAGGGGACGGGACCCTGCCTGTCTTTGTCCATTTTAGAATGAATGAACAGAATACGTGAGGGGATGGCGTTGTCAGAGGCAGCCATATTGGATGATTTGGAGGAGAAAAAGCAACCCTACCAGAATCCAGCCATTTTAAAGACATACTGATGTCGAGATTTTTTTGAATGGACAATAAATAAAAAGACAATGTTAATCACGGAATCTAAGTGACAGAATCCGTTCCAAACTTCAGGGTTTGCCATTTGTTTGTTTGTTTATTCGATTTTTACCTCAGAGTGGTGAACATGGGTTTTGAAAAATTGACCAAGGATCATTTAAAATGTCCAGGTAGTCCTCGACTTACAATAGTTTGTTTTGCAAGTATTCAAAGTTATGACTGGTCCTCGCCCTTAGCAGTGATTGTGGCATACTCAAAGCCGTGGGATCGAAATTTGTACCCTTGGCAACCGGCACGTATTTACGACGGTTGCAGCATCCTGAGGTCATGTGACGACCATTTGTGGACCTTCCCAACTGGTTTCTAACAAGCAAAGTCAGTGGGAGAAAGCTGGATTTCCTCCTCATGACATATTCACTTAATGTGACTTATTCACAACGTATTCATAACATGCAATTTGCTCAAGAACTATGGCAAAAAAAGTTTGTAAAATTGGACACCACTCACTTAACAACCGCCTTGGTTAGCAATGGGAATTGTGGTCCCGGGTGAGGTTGTAAGTTGAGAAATTCCTGTAATTGAAAACAGCACTTACAAGTATCTTTCTTTCCGGCTCTGCAGGAGAGTTGGCTGCTGACAATGAGCAGGTATTTGAGCCAGTCACGTATAAATTGACTTTTAAGCAGGAGGCAAATCCCTCTCAGATTTTGCGTCAAAACATCGCATGCTCGGAGATGGACAAGACACCTCAGGATGAAGGCAGGTCTGTCTATGTAGCTCAGTTTTCCCATGGAATATATGATTTTCAAATCACGTGTTCGCCTTCAGTGAACATAAACCACTTAGTGTCTCGACCTTTTCAATAAAAGCTGCCAGAAGTCTTAAAGAATGCTATGAGAATATTCCAGCCTCTCAGGTGACTAACAAGGAGTACTGGAGCTCATAACATCACTAGAAGGCAAAATCATGAAACTGCATCTCACTTACTTTGCCCATGTTACGTGGGGGAATTCTGGGAGTTGACGTCCACAAGTCATAAAAGAGCCAAGGTTGCCTACCTCTGGACTAGGAGATAAATCCAGTGTCCTTTGGCCATAGCAGCCAAATGCATTTCCTTGGGGCAAAAGGAGGTATAAGCAAAATCAGGAAGAAACTGGTTGGATCCTTTTGGTCAAGGCTAAGCAGTTTGGCAACCCATCTTTCATTTCTTGTTTGTTGGCTTTCTCCATTCCTCAAGTACATCTGTTGTGCATTTCTGTGTTAAGTTTTAATTTTACTCAGTTATTAAATGTATATGCTGCCCATCTCACAACCAAAGTGATCCTTTCAATTGGACCCATGTCAGATAACCCCTGTTTTGGCTTCCAGTAGTAATTTCTATTGGAAATGTATCATGTAGAAATATTAGCATATTAAAACAGAGTGGAAACCCAGAGCGATTAATTAAGACGTGAACCAGGAAGACTCAAAGTCGTTAGTGTGCACTAGTGCAACAGACCAAGATCTGCAGATTTCTTTCTCTTTCTTTATGTCTGCCTTTGCTAGCACTGCAAACCGAAATCGACAGACGGCAAAGCGGCCCAGCTACTCAGTCATCTGGAATGGGCTTATCCAGATGTTCAGTGTGAAGCAGTTTGTAGCCAAAGCGTATCCTGTTTCTGGTTTTGGCTCTCATCTCTGTCAGGTAAGGCTTGTACCTGTAGAAGAGACTATTTATAGCTCAGAGTTGAACTGTGTGTGGTCCCTGGGGCTCTCTGAGCTTAGCTGTTTTCTTGCAGATATTTCGTTACCCAACTAAGTAACCTCATCAGTGTTAGGGCATCAATGCTAATCTAGCACTGAAGACGTTACCTAGTTGAGTAATGAAATGTCTGCAGAAAACAACCAAGTTGAGAGAGCACCAAGGACCCCACTGGTAGGGTAGCTCTGAGTAACTGAATCAGCTATGGTCTACCTGTGAGGTGCACACAGCCTCCTGACACCCCATCTGCAGCATCTCAGCACCTCAAGACCTGACCTGTTGCTGAAATTGGGCCACAGAATGGTCAGTTTTGGCAATGTGATTTTGGGCATCTCTCTTTGAAGTTGAAATGGGAATTACCTTCTGATTCCTCTTCTCGTCCATCACACCACCAAAAAGGGCCAAAGTATTTTAGTGCTATTCCTCATTGGGATGCCCTGATGGCAGCAGACAATTTCCTGACATCCTGACTTATATAATATTAGCACAGTGACTCCTGTGTCCCCTAGAAGGAGTGTGCAATTCCACTTCTGTCATTAGAACATTACCCAGCATGGGTAAATTTTAAATCCATAACTACACAATGGATTACAATGCTACTTTTATAAAAGAAAGTTGCAAGATGTGGTGTTTGGAAAGTGGCGTTTGTTTCCAGCATAGTCAGCAATGACGAGTGGAATAAAATCCTCAGGGACCCCTTTATCTTTACTTTACCATAAGGAATGCTGATAAAAAGTGTCTCTGTTGGATTAATCTTGCTACCAGATATAGAACTTCCTTTACTCCAGCACTGAAAGTGTGCCTCTTTTATTTTCTTGCAGGCTTTACCAACAGTGCTTCAGTCACAGGGATGTATTCTCCCCAAGGACGTCTGGGCTTATGTGGATAGCATATGGCCAAGAAAGAGAGAGGTATTCTCATTCTTCCCAAATTCTTCCTTTGTTCAGGGATGGCGACTCATATCCTAACAAACTGACTTCCACTTCCAAATATAGAATGTGATGGGCATTGGAAGTCATTTAATCCAACTTTCTCCTCCTGATTTGGCTGATAGTGTCTGGCTGGCCCAAAGTCACACAGGAAGCTTTGCACGCCAAAGGAAAAACTAGAATCACAGGCCCTCAGTTTCTAGTCTGTCATCACCTTGCCATCTTCTCCAGCCAGCAGACCCCCCCCCCCCCGTTTCCTTGAGTTTTGTTCTGTACATGCTCAAAGAAGCGTTTGTGTTATTTTTTTTGACATTCATCGCTGGCCTCAATTCATTCTCTGTCTTAGGCTTCCTGACCCCATCTTTGGGCTATGTTCTAGTTTCATTATATAAACTTTTTGCTCCATTTTTTTAAAAAATTGTCCTTTTGTGTTTCTCAGTTTATCAGAGAGCATATTTTGAAACTATGCTGGTCTCCTCAGCTGTCTCTCATTTTTCTTTCTCTCTAGCACGGTTTGTGTTTGGCCTTTGATTAATTTGTTTTTCAGACTCTCCCAAGTCTTCTGAAGAATTTTTTTCCCCTTCAGTATTTCCATTTTTGAAATCCTCCCTGTTTAGCTTATGAAGGCACCCACTGGATGTAAATTCTACACTCACAAGGTCAAAGCTTTTTGCAGTTATTCTTCAGTTATTTCTTAGGTTAGGCTTAATTTGCCAGTGTAACTCTTAACATAAAGTAAGTCTCTGAACACACACACACACACACACACACACACATACACACATACTCGCACGCACGCACGCAGACGCACACACAATCCACAAAGAGTTTGTTCATTCCTGCAATGTGTAGATGGCATAGGGACCCCTTGCTTTAATTCTTGCAAGAAAAACCATAAATTATATAGACAAATGATTTCCCATCAGCTAATGGCCTGTTTCTTACCTTTCCATCTAGGAAATGGGGGTGATAAGATTCCGTCCCAGTTTATCCAGAGATTTCAGTTCTTACCACACATTGTACACCTACCTGAACAACAGACAGAGATACGGCATTGCGGAAAGTAACCAGATGGAGATATTCCTGGTGCCATTACCAGCCTACCAATTGGTGCCTTCCCAATTCCACCCAGTAGGTGGACCAGGTAAGAACCAGACCAGGTCTCTTTTATGTTGTTGGTTTTTAGGAACCCGGACAGCTCAAGACCAGGACAACTATTCTTTGTAAGATAAGCTTCTTGCCAAGGAAAATTGATGTGTTTTTTGCTTTTATTTCTTTGGCCGCTATAATTTAATGCAACCTCTCCACTATGGGTTCTCTTTCAAGTGAACTTCTCTTGGTTTCAGCAGTTTTTGTAGTTACCATTTCTGGACTGCAGACATTCGGATGGCCACTAGATGACAGGAAAGAGTATTCTGCATCTTTTTTGCTGCCATCTGGTGGCACCCGAACTATTGCAGCTGAAGTATGAGAGCTCAAGTGAAATCAGAGAAATGAAAAAAAAAATCTGAAAAAAAAGAACATAGCAGAAAGCTGCTAGTACCGATGATGTTACTTAGGTCATGAAACCCCTACATTTAAGGCAGGGGTCACCAACCTGTGGGCTGCAGCCCAGTACCGGTCCGTGGCCTGTTCACCACCGGGCCGTGGGATGGCTGGCAAGTGTGCACACGTGTGCAGGCACCCTCCCCACTCACTAGTACCGCCGCACAAGTGCTAGTGGCCCCGTTTGTGCATGCATGGGGCGCCAGCATCGCTGCCAGTGTCACACAGGCACTAGCGGCCCGTTTGTGCATGTGTGCAGGCCCCAGCACCGCCATCAGCACCGTCATGGGTGTGTGCGGCCACTTGCGCATGTGCGCAGTCGCTAGCACTGCCACCGTGCATGTGTCCATTTTGCGCATGTGGGCGTGCATATGCACACGCATACACGCATGTACATTTCCCTGCTTCTCCCTTTCCCTCCGGGCTGCCAACTCGGAAAGGTTGGGGAGCTCTGATTTAAAGGAACAATAGTTGGCAAACGAGACAAACTGAAGAAGACTCAGAAGCGTTAACTCTGGTATCTGCACCAAGGAGGGTATCATCCATGCCAAGGATGCTCAACCTGCATCTTTGAGGTCATAAAAACTCCTCTAAAAGTTGCCAATAATTTGTTATGTTTAATGTGACCGAAGAGGGAAACCACTGAAAACGCATGCGGGAAAAATAGCATAAAATTCATATTTCACGTGAAGTTCAAAGGCAAAGGTGGATTTAGCTCCCCAAATTTGTGTTATGTAGATGGGTTCAATTTTGATTTTGCTGGATGATTCAGTTTCCTATACTTTTATATGCTTCAGGAGCAAACGCGGGAATTTTGCAACTTTTACTGAACTTTATTGAATCTCCAATGCAGGGTACCGGTTACAATCAACCTCCACACGGGGTGAGACTGTTCTGCACTCTTGCAGAATCTTTGATGATTGGACCTTCCAGGATGTTTGCTTTCTTCAGCTGTCATCTCCCACCTTCCCCCGCCCCCCAGTGCTGTCATTTTCACTGGCTTTGTTATGATGACCTTTGCGTGCCTGTTTGGAGACAACGCGGCATTTGATTGTCCTGCGGCAACTGCAACAGGATATTAAAATTTCTCCATCGACATTTGGAATTGGCCTCGTCCTTTCACTTCGCATTGCAAAATGCCAGAGAATCCTATGCACAGCCACCCAGTGTGCTATTTACTTAGATCTCGGGTGAGGGGTGAAGAGAAACGGCAGGGAAGCGCGTACCAGGTGGTCAAAGCAATTCATCCCATCATTTTCTAAATAAAGCAGATTAGCCTCCTCCACTGCATTGGTTTGCTTCGGATCTGAGCAAAAGATTCTAAGAGTTGTACACCAGAACATTAAGCCTTAAGATAAAGCATTGTATAGCAGCTCTATAATGTTAGTTAAATCTTTTGGATAAATAAGGTCCAACAAGTTGAAAGGCTTGTTTTGAAATCCCAAGATTACCCAAAATTTTGCTTTTACTCCCTCCCCCCCCATCTCCCCCTACCCTTGGTCAATTTTGACTTGCAAACAGTTAGGGTGTTTTTATTATGTCTGATAGGCTTCACACACACAGAGCAGTCTATCACAACTCTTCAGGCTCTTACAGAGTGTCCGTATTCAGGAAACTGCTTATAGAAAGACTTTGGGGACACAACAGCCCTAGATTAATTGCCTTAGTGGAGACAGGAAGAAAACCATATACATAGTTTTGCTTATGGCAGTCCGCAGAAATCAGTAGCTTTATCTGTTACATGCTAAATAAATAAATATCTCCACCTCTGTATCTCATTTATCTCACCTATGCCTATATATCTATCTCAGTGATGGCGAACCTATGACATGCATGTCAAAAGTGATACACCGTGACGTTTTGCGTGACACGCCAGTGTTCATCAATATCCAACAACTGTTCTCCCTGTTTGAATTACCAAAGAAACTGAATGGCGACGAATATACAAGAAATATGTGACTTTGCACCGCCCAAAGCTTAAAGTGGATTCTCCCCATCCATATCAGCATGTGATTTGTCACCTTCAAAAGTGTGATTGATGGTGACATGAAAGAGAGCGCAGTTTGCAAAATGCAATGGGAACATGGCAGCTGCACAATTCAGTTGTCTCCCAACTGCTGCATGGGCGGGTTGTTTGCACAGCAAAGCTCATTTTCCAGGAGCACTAAGTGTAGAGGATATCTGCAACCACAGTCTGCCAAATGACCATACTATCAGCAATTGTGTGTCATCAACCTCGTGTGAACAAGAAGTTGCACTGAATTGCGAATGACTGTGGGAAGAGATGTTTCTCTTTTGTTCAGGATTGTGTGTGTGTGTGTGTGTGTGTGTGTGTGAATGTGAGAGAAAGATGCTACTAGAGTCAAGTTAGCCATTTTGCCAAATTTTTGACACAGTCAAGCCCAAAAGGTTCCCCATCACATCGCCATATATATATGCATGTACGTCTAGATTTAAATGGTAGGCTTTTACTGCAGAAAAGACTGCAGGAAATTGGCTGTTTCTTCACAGCCTTGAGATTGGGAAGGATATTCTTAACACTGGCATTCTGCCCCACTAACTTCATTCTTTTCAGCATTGGCAACCAGTGAAGAGAAAGTGCTTCTTTTAAAAATGGCTGAAACGCTTCTTGTCCCTGGGCGTGTCTTTTTAATTCCACGGCTTTGTGTTTTTTCCACAGGCCTTCATCGGTGTCACCCAGCTTTGCTATTGGGGCTAATTTTGCCCAGAAGAACTCTTCTAGACAGGCTGAAGACACATCATGATCTTCCACCTACAGCCAAGAAAAAGAGAATCACTTCTAAGGTCAGCCCGGAAAACAGCTGTTTCACTCTCCCTTCACGTTTACAGGCAGATGTTGGTCAGGAACAGACCCCGCAGCCTGTGTGCACAGAAGGGCTTTCCTTTGCGGAAGGCCTGACAAGCCTTCCAAAGCAAGAGGAGCTGACACTTGACAGTCTTCTTGATCTCATAGAACAGCTCAAAAGAGGCATAGTGTGTAGAGCGCCTTCCACTTCTTGCCAGCAAGATGCAAGAGATGAAGTCAGCCAGCCTTCTTTGACAGCAGATTCTGCTTCAACTGGAGAGCAATTGGGCAATTTAACTCTGGAAATTTTGGGAGCACCGCCATGTCAGAATGAGGAAGAGATACAGTTTTGCACCGATCCTCTTCCATCAGATTTCTGTAGTGTGCTTGGGCCTCTTTTACCTTCTGGGGTTTTACATCCAGATCAACAGGGAACTCATATGGCGTATGGAGCCCAAGGAATAAACACCTTTGAAAATCTACTTTTACCAAGTGTCTTTTGTGCTGAAGTTGTGACACCTGTTGAGGAACGTCAGGCTCAACTTCCACCCCAAATTCCTTACACCAACACGATTGGAGGGCATAACTCATCTCTGCAGGAAACATTGTCTTTCATCCAGACAATGATGCAGTCCAACGTTCAAAATCTGGAAGCTCAATCATGTAGTCTCCTTACACAGGAAATGATCTCTGCACTGTCTCAGATTCCAGCAGGAACAGAGTCGTTTCCAGCCCAGCAAGATGGTGGACACTACATAGGACCAACTTGAGATGCTTGGGAGGGCGACGGATGTGATGGTGGCAGTTTAAAGCTGTAAAAGAGGGGACAACTCTCTGGGAGCAAATAGAAATAGGGGTGGAATAAGCTGCAGGTGAAGGAGTTTTCATTACTCTCTTAACCGGCTTGCATATTTATTCCTTATAATTCTAAGAGACTAGGGTAGGTTTAGCTTTTAATTGTGCATTGATCGGGGTTTAAAAGTTCATTTTGATGAGTATTTCTCAATCTTGGCAACTTCCCCAGCCAGTAGGGGATTCTGGGAGTTCAAGTTCCACACATCTTAAAATTGCCAAGATTGAGAAACACTGAGTTGGATATTGTTAGTTGTCTGAATCCTAGTATGCCCATCTCATACCGTGGTCATGACAAACAGGTAGCCAATTGGTTCACCAGAAACCATTGTAAACTCAAGACTTAAAATGACCATTTTCCATGAAGTTAATGGAAATTGGCATTTGGTCATTTCCAGGGCAAAAACAGATGGATAGTTTTCTGTTTTTCTGCTATATGCTGATGACTCCAAATAACCATGTGGGCAAGAGGCAGATTCCACGAGGAAAATGCGGATTGCGTTGGGGTTGAAGCTGTTGTCTGATTAGAAGACACAATTGTACCTAACATGTATTTTCATGTTAAGAAAGCATTCTAAAGTGTTAAATTAAAAAAAAATAAAGGTTTAATTACTTTTGTAAGATTATGGAGTTTGAGGTTTTTTTTTAAAAAAATCTTTCTTTACCTGTGCTGAGGTAAGGAGAAAGTTGGAATACTTGTTTTCTGAATTCAATCACAGAGCTGTAAGGGGCCTTTGAGTAATTCAGTCTTACTTTAGGGTGTGTGGACTTCAGCTCCCAGAATTCCCCAGACTGCATGCTGGGAGTTGCAATCCATACATCTTAAAAGTTGCCAAGACTGCAGAAACACTGGTCTAGTCCGACTCCCTTCTCACTGTAGGATGCATTAGAACAGATGTGCCAAACTCAAGGCCCGCAGGCCACATCCGGCCCGTGAGGTGTTTAGATCTGGGCCGCAAGATGATTGAGTATATAGCAGTGTGAGTATGTGTGAGCTGAAGTGACAATGCCAGAGGCCCAGGGGAGAGTCAGTTGGAGTGAGGGGCTGCTGGGGCTTGGTGGTAGCGACTGTGCATATGTGCAAGCGGGACGCGCTCACCCATGATGGTATCTCCACCAACAGAAATGGACGCTGTGAAGGAAAGTCTCTAGAAAATCTCTCCCATCCAGTTCTTCTCAGTGTCCAAATGAAGCCGGTGCTTTTGGCCAAGGCTAAGGCAGCAGCTTCTTATTCTGGCCACCAGATGGTGTAGTTTAATAGAAAATGACATTTCTTTCTTTCAACCTACAGTGTCATGGGCCATCTTGCCCCCTCCTTGAGAAAATGCTCTAGGCCTGTTTCTGGAAGTCTCAAGAATTCTTTGAGGATCGATTTATTTTCAGGTTTGTGGCGTACTCATAACGTTGATAGGACTGATTTATTTCAAATGTGAATAACATAAATACAGGATTCCCCCCCCCCCCTCCTGACATCTTCTATGTTTTGGAGAACTGTCTTAGGTGCACCACTCAAATGCCATCCTCCTGAAGAACAGTATGGCACACCCCTTCTAGAATCTGACACTGTAGAAGGTATGTAAGATTTCTGTACCAACAGATATAGCAGAAGTAGATTTGCCAGATGTGACTTCAGATTTTCCCATGTATGTTACCAGGAAACATAGGTAGGGCAGTCTAGAAAAGTCAGTGCCCTCCTAACCATACCCAAGCACTCTGAGTTTGTTGGCGGTGTCCATTTTGCTCTAGGAGTTCATGGTGACCTAACCCTAACCCTAAGTGGAATTTTCCTCCAATGGCATTTTCCCATGTATTTTATCAGAAAACATAGATAAGGCATCCTAGAAAAGTCAGTGCCCTCCTAACCATACCCAAGCACTCTGAATTTGTTGCCGATGTCCATTTTCCTCTCTGAGTTCATGGTGACCTAACCCTAACCCTAAGTAGAATTTTCCCCCAATGGGGTTTTCCCATGTATTTTGCCAGGAAGCATAGATAGGGCAGCCTAGAAAAGTCCGTGCCCTCCTAACCATACCCAAGCACTCCGAGTTTGTTGGCGATGTCCATTTTGCTCTAGGAGTTCAAGGTGACTTAACCCTAACCCTAAGTGGAATTTTCCTCCAATGGGATTTTCCCATGTATTTTACCAGGAAGCATAGATAGGGCAGTCTAGAAAAGTCAGTGCCCTCCTAACCATACCCAAGCACTCCGAGTTTGTTGGCGATGTCCATTTTGCTCTAGGAGTTCAAGGTGACCTAACCCTAAGTGGAATTTTCCTCCAATGGGATTTTCCCATGTATTTACCAGGAAATATAGATAGGGCAGCTAGAAAAGTCAGTGCCTTCCTAACCATACCCAAGCACTCCGAATTTGTTGGCGATGTCCATTTTGCTCTAGAGTTCATGGTGACCTAACCCTAACCCTAAGTGGAATTTTCCTCCAATGGGATTTTCCCATGTATTTTACCAGGAAGCATAGATAGGGCAGTCTAGAAAAGTCAGTGCCCTCCTAACCATACCCAAGCACTCCGAGTTTGTTGGCGATGTCCATTTTGCTCTAGGAGTTCAAGGTGACCTAACCCTAACCCTAAGTGGAATTTTCCTCCAATGGGATTTTCCCATGTATTTTACCAGGAACCATAGATAGGGCAGCCTAGAAAAGTCACTGCCCTCCTAACCATACCCAAGCACTCCGAGCTTGTTGGCAGTGTCCATTTTGCTCTATGAGTTCATGGTGACCTAACCCTAACCCTAAGTGGAATTTTCCCCCAATGGGATTTTCCCATGTATTTTCCCAGGAAACAGATAGGGCACCCTAGAAAAGTCAGTGCCTTCCTAATCATACCCAAGAACGATGGCGATGTCCATTTTGCTCTCTGAGTTCTGTTGACCTAACCTTATTGTGTCATAAAATGTTTTATAAAATTTGTCAAATGTTAGTTCCACAGGAATCTGGTATCCCAGATTCTGGATGCATTTCATACATTAGCTCATCTGAAGTATCTTGGTTCAAAAACTGTTATCTCATGATGCGCAGTTTCATCCAGTTAAAGGTCACAGACACAAGAGTTTTGCTAATATATCCATAACAAAGATTCCAATATTGGCATTTGTTCCTAATCTCAAGGACCAATGTGAGCAAGCATTGCACTATAACATCACCTTAGCTGATGGTATGGATGGCTTGGCTCAGGTGACAGATTTGCTGCATCTTTGGCCACTCATGTTGTCCAGATGGGACTCAGAATTTCTTGGTACTTAAAGGTTAACTGTTGACTTTAAGAGAAATATTTTCAAATATATGCAAATGTCTTGTCATTAATTTTGTCTGGAGAATCCCTTTTTTTCCCTTTGATACATCCTTGGAGAGTGAAATGTTTTTTGGAAAGAGATTTGCTAAGACTCCTGTCTCAGTATCCCCCCACTTTCATTTTCGATAAAGAAAGTTTTAATGTTAATTTCACCAACCTAGCAATCGACTTGACCTAAAGCAGCAGCGAATTTTCAAAAGAGCTTTCTCTTATGCCAGCATTAATTGCTTTAATGACTCTCATTAAAATGCAGGCCAGAGGCAGAGGAATCCACATTCAAAGTGATTGTAAAAAGACATTGTGTCTCATTGTTTTTTCAAGATTTCTTGTGTTCTTTAGACAGAGTGAGCAAACGGTTGGAACAATAGCAAAAGTCACAAAGCTGCTTTAACCAACTATTTAAAAAAAACCCTCTGATTTGTGTTCATACTGTCTTCAGTTTTTTTTTAAAGCTGAGAATCAGATCTTCAGTTTTAGTGGCTGAACTAAAATGATTTCGAAATAGGTCATTTTTTTTAAAGCATTTAAATTTCTCAGCTCTATCAATGGATTTCACCCAAGTGATTTAAAAAAATGTGGGGCCAACACCTGACGAATGTTTGTGGAGAAAGAAAAAATGCTCTAGGTGAGAAGAACAAAGGGCGACCAGTTGCCGAAAATCTGTATTTAAACAACATCCTGGAAATAAAAGAGTACTTTAAAAGACAGTGACATTTTGTGAAGGAATTCTGTGTCCCAGAGAGATGTGTTCTGACTTATTCCGGCTCTAGTCCATTGGGGCCTTGACAGATGTTGCTGCATTGTAAACAAAACAAATTAATTAAAGGAAAATCAGAACATTGGCACTTTCATAATTGGCTAATCTACCGGGCCCCTAATATAATTAATTATGTTAATACAGCTGGCAGCTGCCATAAAGGGAAAAATGCTGCTGATTAACTCTATCGGAGAGGGACGGTTTTCCTAATCATGGGTGCAATCTGAAGCACCCGTGTTGTATTTGATTCATAGGGAGGCCACCAACCTTCCCAAGACCCTGAAATGGATTCCCCATCTTTCTCCATTCTTCGGAGCCCAGACAAGTAAAAGAAAGGAAAGACAGAGGGTGGATTTTGTGAGTGCCTTTCGGGATAATTGGGTTGGAGGGAAACCAATTCTTCTCCAAGGAGATAACCCCAAGGACTCATTCGTACATCTCATTAACTATCTCGACTTATGCCAGTTGCCAAGTTTTTGATCACATGACTGTGCGGATGCTGCAATGGTTGTTAAGTGTGAAAAACGGTTATAAGTCACTTTTTTCAGTGCAGCTGTAACTTCGAACAGTCAAAATGAATGATTGTAAGTTGAGGACTATAAGGACAACTTGGCTAATTGTTCTTAGAAGCCCTGTCCTTAGGATGTTGGCTTTCTCCTATGCCCCAGACCAGGGGTAGGCAACCTTGGCCCCTTCATGACTGGTGGACTTCAACTCCCAGAATTCCTGAGCCAGCAGGGCTCAGCTTGGAAACCTCTCCCTTTCCCCTCAGCATGGCTGGCTCAGGAATTCTGGGAGTTGAAGTCCACCAGTCATAAAAGAGCCACGGTTGCCTACTCCTGCCCCAGACCATCATTTATAGCTAATTCTGCTGATTTCAAAGTATTCTTTCCCCTCTTCTCCTGCTATGCAAACATTCTATATATTGACAACATTTCTGTGGCCAGGCTTTCTCTTCTCCAGTCTCTGGGCAGTGACCTCAATCGTGTGATTCATTTAATGAGCACACTGATTCACTGGATGAGGTAAAAATAGTTGTAAAATTGGGTCTGACTCACTTAATGACTGAATCCCCTACTGACCAAAACTTTGTTTCCAAGTAAGTTGAGAACTATCCTGTAGACCCAGAGACAACTTGCAGACATGCCTACAATCTGTCCTTTGGCTCCACTCTCTCTTGTTCCAGAGCAAAGGATGCAGAACAAGGACCCTGAGTTACAGAAAGAAAGGAATCGGGGGGTGGGGTGGGGTTGGAGGCTGTGGTCAGAAAAGTCAAGATGATGCTCACGGTGGGGAGATTGAAGCTCTACCTGTTGTTTTTTTTAATGTATTTTTAATGTGGAGGCTTGGATTTGAATTTGGATTCCTGAACCTGTCCTGGAGTCGACTTGATGCCTCAAATACAGGCAGTCCTTGACTTTGTTTAGTGACCATTCAAAATGACAATGGGACTAAGAAAAACGACTTACCATTATCCTTGTACTTACGACGGTTGCAGATCCCCATGGTCAGGCGATAAAAATCCAGGCGCTTGCCAGTT